CCAAGAGAGACTTAAAGGAAGGACCACTAGCACCCAAAGAAAGTATTTTATCCTTGAAAGAACCGATGACTAGTAACCCTTTTCTAGGAAAGAGGAGAAGCTACTGTACTTAAACGGTAAGTGATAAACTCTAAACTTGTCAGCAAGTAGCGTATGAGAACTACTTCTAAATGACAAGTGCCATGCCAGCGGTAAGTGATAAACTCTGAAGAAGTTAGCAGGTAGTATATGAGAACTACCTCTAAATAACAACTGCCAACTTATAGATTCCAGTTTTACGCTCTCCATTACTTACTAATTACTGTTTTTTTACAAAAATTGTTTGGGAAATTTTGGTTTTAGTGATCGTCGAAAAGAGTTCATTATATATAATTATTGTCTGGAATTAAAAGTACTATATTTATATATAATAAAATTATTATTAATATATTAAAACTTTTTAACATTGAATAACTTTTAATCTACTGATCCGTTTTGGATGATTTAACTACCAAAATGATCGCCTCAATGAGACAATTCTAATAAAACCAAAATCATTAAAATTCAATCACAAGATCATAAAATCGATAAAGATTTATAATATAAATAAATCATTATCAATCTCGGGATCCTGGAATTAGATTTTAGTGATTTTAAGTGCATTAGAATCTTCTAATTTAGACGATTATTTTGGTAGTTAAATCGTTCAAAACGGATCAGTAGATCAAAAGTTATTTACTGTTAAATATTTTTAATATTTTTGATATAATGTCATATATAGGCGAAAATATAATCTTTAGTTAGTAAAAATTTTTAATATGCCAAATTTTAAAATAAATACTTTGTCAAAGTATTGTATAAAGATAACTGAATTAATTTAAATATAATTTAGGGGATCACTCCTATTTACTTTTTTAGCAATTGTGCAAAAAGTAAATTTTGCAGGCAAATTTGCCTGCAAAACATATTAAGAGATAGCTTTGGAGGAGTTTTGAACTACGTCCGAGGGTTATTCACCCTCGTTGGGAGCTTATAACTAGGGATTGTAAAAAAAACGTTTTAAAACATGATTTCGATATGCGGAGCCTAATTGAATGCATCGGATCATAATCAACACATGTTTTAAAACGGTGAAAAATGTTTTTTTTACCTTCTCTACTTATAACCCTTTCCGGGAGCTTTTAACCTTTTTTGCTGAGGGTTAAGCCCATCCAGCTATGCCACAATCTTTACCCTATTAGGAATACATGATCTAACTAAATAAAGAATAATGAGACTTAACATTAAGCGTATCGGTATTAAATTCTGTTCTACGTATAAGTATAGAGATACGACAATTTAGGGCCATGGTTTTGTACAAAAAAAAATAAAAAAATGCGTCGGCTGAGTGTACCCGGGCATATTTCGCTGGATATGAGTAAATTTTTTCGGTACCTCATCTGATATATGACAAGTATGGACATTAACACAACAAAGTCCCGGTTTATTACAATTACACAGTACAGTACGTTTCTAACCATATTAGTATCTCAAAGATTCAATAAGGAAAAAAAAAGTTATTTGTGCAAGGTTTGCTAAAAATAAGTTAATTTTTTAAAGAACACGTAATTAAATTTCCTAAATAAATTTTTCTTTGTATTCCAAGATATTTTTTTCTTTTGCAGATGAGACACTTTTATGATGAAAAATTTAGGAATACAATTATTTCCCATATACGCATAAAAATTGATACAAGTTTATTATTATAATTAGTGCAAATTTACATTGAGAATTCCAAAAATAAATGAAATTATTTCGGCTCATGAGAAGGTGGAGAAAATATAGAATTTCTATAAGTGGGTTTTTGTCGAAATAACGGCGAAAACTGGTTTTTTGATATTACCCCATTATAACTCCGACTATGAGAACCATTTACGGATGTTTCATTTCTTGAAACATTATTTTCAGAAAGCGTTGGCATCTCAGAAGTCGAGGACAGAGGACGAAATGATCTTCCTTGCACTTTTTCCGAATAATCTAAATTCTCTAAATCGTTATCAGATTTGTGATTACACGAATATTGTTGTGTAATTTCAACAAGGATCGAAAGGCCAAATATGCCAGTATACGACCACATTAAGAAGAAACTTATCATTCTGATTAAGCAAGCGTGATTAAGTGTTTTTGATTTGTAGTGGTAAGTTTGAGGACACAATAATGGGACTCGACCTAGATCTTGTAAAAGGAATATGGTATAGGTTGCTGTAATCAGAAAAAAAAAAAAATTTGTATATAAGTATATAAGTATTGGAATATATGCTATAATTAACCATATTAACACAAATACCTGGAATTGCTATCCACGCGAGTATAAAGATAAAACTTATCGTTGATCGTTCTAGTGGTTTATAAAGGCTATACGATCCTCGACAAATTGCGCAAGTAAAAGTGACTATAATTATAAAAAAAAAAAAAAAAAAAATTCAATGATAACTCTTTTGAGAAAGATAAAAAGTAAAATATTTACCATCTTTAAGAAGAGTTACAGCCGTCAATGCTATGTAACTTAATTAAAATTGAAAAAGAGTCGAGAAATAGTTTGAGAATTTGAGTTTAAAGAAAGATTACGTTGAAGGAAAAGATAGATAAATACATGTTTTCGATAGTTGAATTCATCGGAATATCTTCCCGTTCAATTTCGTTAAAAACTATATATTTTAAAATTTCTGCATAATTGAAAAATATTAATAAGAGAGTTGAATATCGTAGGAAAATTCTTCTTAACAATTAAATTAGCTCACCAAATCCAAGACAAGCTGCATTAAGTAATAGCAACATGAAAAAAAAAAGTCCAAATAATATTGTCTGGCAGTTCATATGTAGATAAAATTTCCTGTTATGCTTGATTAGAATTCGACTTTATCAATCAAACTAAAATTCGACTTTATCAATTAAACTAAAATTTGACGTTATTAATCAACTAGAATTCGACGTTATCAATCAGCTAGAATTCGACGTTATCAATCTTAAAGCTTTTGCAAAATCGGTGGTCCTTTTTTTTTTTTTTTTTGAGACAAATTAAGAAAAACGTAAATAATGAGCACTAATATGAACACAAATAAATAAATATTGTCTTTAAAGTTCGTGATTATCAGTTACCGTATTTTATGTACGGCATATATCAGTTAAAAGCGATTTTATACGAAATAATCAAAAAAATTCTTTACTTACTGTTGTAGACTATTTACAGTGATAAATATTAAAAATTGGAGAATTATTTGATTGCGTTTTATATATAAATTGAAAGGAATTCTTCTACAAGATAATTCAGAGTTTAAATACAGTAAGAACTTTATGTACGGTTTTGCATAACAAACGCCAAATCTATTCGTCAACCCATGTCAATCATTAAAATAACTTGAAATTATACTTTCAGATGATGTGCATTGATTTAAAAATGAATGGCCAGAAGTAATTTAAAATAATGTCAATTGATAGTCTGAATAACTTGCCACTCGTGATGAACTGCAATTCAGAATCTTAATATATTATGAAAATCTAAGTACTAATTAAAATCCATCCTCAATTTGATAAATTTTTTAAAAATAATAAGATTTATTTTTGTATCGAGTTACTATTTGAAGCATCTAAGATCAGTGCAACTCAATCAATGTAACCAACGTAACTTGTTTCAATCCATGCTAAATCAGTTTTGTAGGTTGAATGTGTTGGTATGCAATGAATGCGTACTATAAATGCGGAATATATTAGTCAATATATAATAAAAATTTATTAATAGTTAACTATATATATAGTGTGTAACCTGACATTTCAACTTATGATAAGCAAAATTTCATACAGTAATCCGGAACCTAGAAATACAAGCTTCTTATTGGCTAAAGATCCATAGTCGATTTTTTTGAATTATATATATCTATATATGGGGTCTTTGTCTTGAGAATCACGTTATGAGACATAGTAATCATATGTTCCATAACGTGATTTTCAAGTATATATATATATATATATTGACATTTGTCCGGAATGTAGTGGAGGAATTTATACATAAGTATATATGCAAGCATGACTATTTTTTGTTGTGCACTTATCCATGTTAGTATCCACCAATCCGTGTGCATATATACGTACATACGTATATTTTTAGCTGAAATCTAATTTAAATCTTCTAAATCTTAGTCCAAATCTAAAAAAAAACCTAAAAAAATGCACCTCAAAAAATTTTAAAAATCGTACGTACATTAAATAGATTTTAAGTTCAGCATCATCCGTGACGTATAATATTAAAAAGCTAATTTATTTGTATTATGATGCGCGCAGTCTAGAGAAATCAAATATTTTTATCAACTTAAAATCGCAGAACAACTTCACAAAAAACTTAAGTTCAATTTATTTTTACTAAAAGTTTAATCGCAAAAAGATTCATACATATAAGTAGCTTTATGTATTCAGTCAGTCTTAAGTCTTTTATTAGAGAAAGTCTACTTTTAAAAAGGATAACTTTAAAAATTTATTACATAAAAAAATGATCGGCAAAATCTTCAATGGGTATAAGCGGAAATTTCATTTCCGCTTAAACACAGAACCCAGAGTATAGGTGATTTATACCCTGCGATCTTGATATAATGACCAGGGCATAATAATACTGGGTACACTAATTACATAAAACTATTAGCTGATACCACTTTTAACCTTTTTATTTAGTAAAATAACTCTTGTAAAATCACGTATACACGTCACCCGGTCAAATCATATAATGCTACGGGCGTGTCGTTTATGCCTGTCGGGTTGAAACTTATAATAGATTTAAATTTTTGGTCCGACAAAGACTAAACGGCACATCCATGACAATTAATAATTTAGGCCAGCTGCAATCTTAGTATGAGGTACGACAAATATAACGCATAAACCTACTAAAATCTATATATACAATCCTAAAAAAAAAAAAAAAATGCAGCATTATTGTTACTGGAAAATTATAAAAAAAACATACTGTATCATCAACATAATTTAAGCATACTTATTGTACTGTATTTTAATATGAAATGTTAAAATGGTTGAGGCCCTAATTTTAGTAAGTTACACTTAATACGTATACATATTTAATTTTAACAAATCTATCATGTAAATATTATACTGGTAAAAAAGGTTTTTTTGTTTTTTATCAAGCGAATGCTATTTATTATGTCCATTATTGAGCAATTTAAATAAACATTTGTAAATATATCTTGTGTTGAAATTAATATTTGCATTATAATAAATAATTTTAATATTTAAACACAATGAATTTGTCAATTTTTATATGTTTGAATAATCAAAATTTACGTTCTTCCATTGGACTATTGTCTTCTGAGATTTAAATAATCATGTAAAAGAAAAACCCTTAGTATACCCAGTAAAAATGTGAAGATAAAAAAATCTCTAAAGCTTGCTTACATTAGGGTTAAACTCTAACTACCGTATAAGCGCGAAATAACTCCCAGGGGCAATTTCGTATTTAATTTTCCGATCTATATAAACTAAATTTATGTTTATTTTTGGGTTATGCATTTGTATTATATATTGTAAAATTTTTTAAGAAAATATTATGCAAGTTTTGAAAAATAAGTGACTCTTTAATCCTGAAAAAAATGAATGTTTTAGATCTTCTAACGCTAATCGCTAATTTGCTACTTGTTCTAATGTGTTAGCACATTTTTTCCGTGATTTTATAGTAATACTCTATTTATTTTTACAACTCACTCGAACTTTCATTATAACGAAAATTCGATATAGTGACATTATCGTGCAAACTCTTATGATCATAGATTTTTTTCTTCTTGTTATTTTTTGTACGTTATTACATAAGCACAACAATCTCGAATTAAAACTCAGTTAGCCAAAAATGACTTGAAAATCATGATCATAATTGCACGATAACATCGATATTGGATCATGCGATGATAAATATCATAAAATTTGTTTTGTCAGAGCAAATGATATTTATCATCGCATGATCCAATATCTTATACGTATCACTTTCTTTAAACATGCATCCGATGCAAAGCTTAGACCTACTCCAGCTAACCAAGCATCTACAACATGTCTTACTCGAATTACTTATAGTCACATATAGTATTCTCTCGATATAAACTATAGTGAAGATTTTTTTTTTTTCCTCAGCCCGGGACTTCACTATAACGAGAGTAAGTTGTATTTATTCTTTGAAATTTCTTGAATATTGATCAAAAAGCGATCTTATATTTTAAATATAATATTGAAACTTATCAAGTTGAATTATTATAAAACGCACCTATGATGTTTTACACTTATTATATTTTTATTATATTTTTTACATTTTTTTAAGGTTTGTATATAAAATTTTTAACAAATTTTTTTACATACGGGTTAATGTTTAGAATTAGGGTTAGAGTTTGGGAAGGGTTTTTAGGGGCGTAGAACATTTTTACTTAGAATACCTCACACCGACTAATTAACTAGTTTTTGTAATAATATATATATAGGTGTAAAGCACCATAAGTAAAAGTCTTTTTATAAATCTTACAATAAGTTATATACGTATTCCAATATTAGATTAAGCTTAATATATTACATATTATTAAAAAAAATCTTTTATATTATGATAAACAATAAAAATTATTTTAGTATATTTTTTAAAGTTACCATTATATTGCAAAAAGGTAATTTACAAAAGAAAAAAATTTTTTTTACGAATACTCGATAAGTTTAGAATGTTGATCGACAAATGTTTTAAACTAATCGATTCGCAAAAAAAAATATTTTTTGTAAATATTACTATTTCAACCATTTCGAAAACAGCGATATTTTTTTCAAATAATAGAAAACTAATGGTTTAAACTTTGTTAAACTATATAACTTGTATATTTTATGTCACGGATGATGATGAAATCCGGATTAAGACCCTTGCATCAACTTAAAAAATTTCGCTAAAAAAAGACTTTGCAGTTAAATTAAGGTTTGGGTTTGCTATTAAATTAGGTTAAAAAGAGATTTTTTAATACCAAAATTTCGCAAAGAAAACAAAATGTTGAATTATAAAAGTGTTATGAACGATTTTTTGTTTGTTTTGAAATCTGATTAGCTGGCGAAATAGTAGCGAAATTTTTTGGGGTAGTGATGTTAGGGTGGTTATTCAGGTCATCCATCCCACTGATCTGAGTTTACTAATTTCCCTCACCACTTCTGATTGGTCCTACCAATTATTCAAATATCGGCGGTCAATAGATTTATCGCTATTGATTATTATTTTATAGTACTCCGATAGTGAAGTGGTGAGGAAAATTAGTAAACTCTACTTAGGGATGGGCAAAGTAATTTACTAAGTAATAATTACTTATGATTTATCCTTTATCAAATAATATGTAATAATTACATTACTATTACTTATTACTTATATACGTATGAAGAATCATACGGCAAATCGATTTAAAAAACTGATTTAGCCATGTTTTGTTTTCGCTAATAAAAATTATATTTGCTGCTAAAAATAGAAACATCGTAAGCATCACTTATTATTACTTAATGCAAAAAAATCTTGTGTAATATTTAGTAAAATTAAGTAAGAATATTGCCCATCCCTAACTCTACTAGTCTTCTGTAATCTCGTCCTTCGGACCTTTAATAGTTTCCGTGACGAATTAAAATGAAATCAATTTAAAATGAAATGAATGATAGCGTCAAATAGACAGGCAACCAAAAAATACAAATTTGGGGTTCATTTTTTAGCATTTTTATTAGGGTTAGGGTTTAGGGTAGAATTTATAATAAACAAGTATAAATGGTTTTGTGAGTCAAATAGAAACCCTCATTTCATTTATCCGATTTCATTATGATCCGCGACAATTATTGCGAAGAAGACAGTGTTGATTTAGTTGACCAATTAAAAGGTCATTTATTAAAATGCAAAAAAAAAACTTCAAGAAATATATGATTTGTTAAAAGCTCAAAACCAAGATTCTGATTCTTCAAATAATTCATTCGCAAAAACTTATTCAATGAGGTTTACATAGTGGTAATTGGATTTTCAATACCAACAAATATAAAACTATGATAATATAGAATGAAAGGCCGATAAGCAAATTTCGTGTTTAAAAATTAAACCGATCAAATAATTAAATTTAACTAATCGGAGGCAATATTTCAGTTTTAGCAAAGCATCGGACGTTAGGGTTTTCTATATCGGTCTAATAACAAACATAATGCAGGTAATGATGTCACAATGATTTTTTTTAGATCAACGATAGTACTGTATAAAAACATAAAATCCAAACCGCAATAACTTTTGAATCAGCAAACTCACATAAATAAAATTTATTTGTCAGGTTTATTTTAGCATGTTCTTTAAAGTTAATTAAAAACTCGTTTTTTTATTATTATTGCTCGGAGCATAGCGGAGGACTCAATTTCCATGCACAAGGATCTTTTTGATGCATTTTTAATAAAAATATTAAAAAACGTAACTGAATTTTTTATTGATCATTATTGCATGACGACAGACAAAAACTCAGTTACGTTTTTGATATTTTTATTAAAAATACATCAAGAACGATCATTTTGCATGAAAAATTGTTCAAAAAAAAAGACGTTGTATTATTGTATGGGTTTGCTGATTCAAAAATTACTGCAATTTGAATTTTACAATGTCGTTGATTAGCGATCATTTTATCACCTGCACTATGGTTGTAATTAATGAAACACCCCAATCAGACGTCAGTGTTTTAAAAAAAAAGGCTTAAAAAACAATAAAAAAAATCCAAGCTTACTTTTGAATACTAAATTATCAAAATATCTTTTAAAGAACGTCAATCTGCCTTTTTTCTATACGATAGCCCAAATAATGTTTTGAACAATGTTAAAAATTGAATTAATTTACTATTCTAACTAGGGTTGGGGGCACGGGTAAAAAAATCGGCATGCCTCAATGGGCATGCGGCATGCCTTATTTAGTCACATGACAAACTATTGATCAATCAAAATCGTTTAAAATTATTATTAAAATCTATAACCAATCTAAATACAATTCTAAAACTTTTGAATCATATTTGAGATCTTGCATAGCATCCAAATATATACTGTATTACTAACTGTACAATAATTACTCTTATCCGGCAGCTTACTATGATAGTCCTTGCCAAATAACTCGAGTTATTTGGCAGTGATTACGTCATCTGCCAAATAACTTCGTTATTTGGCAGCTTACATAATCACTACCAAAAACTCGAGTCATTTGGCAAGCACAATCGTCGTAAACCACCGGATAACACCGTTATTGTATGCTACACAGCCAATAACTTGTTTATCTGGCAGCGAATTTGATATGTGTCATTTCTGGGCCCCTTCGGGGCCCAGAAGCTAACATATCAAATTCACAGCCAGATAATGAATTATTTTACAAATAATTCTCGTTATTGGCTGCTTCGCATCCAATAACTATTTATTATTTGAAAAATTCTTTATATGTATATTTAAATTATTTTATATAAAGTAGTTATATACATTATAGTAAAACTTTATATAGTGAGAATTTTGAATTTTAAAAATTTTAAACATTAACTCAATACAACGAAGTACAATTTATATTGTTATAATGAAGTCCCAGGCTAAAAAAAAACATTACTATAGCTTATAAAGAGAAAATATTATCAAGTTGAAGTTAAATAATTCTGGAATTCAAAAAATCTTTACTATATTGACTCTTCACTAAAACAAGAGTTTACTATAGCAAGAATAAATTGTATATATATTATCTTGATATAAGCTATTGCCCTAGAAGGCATGCCCATGCCCCAACCCTAATTCTAACAAGATAACAAAAAAATTTTCTATACTCTTCATTTTGCTTTGCGCTTATTTTTTAATAATAAACAATTTCGATTTCGATTGGAATATATTTAAAGTGTTAAATTAAATTTAAACTCGGAAATCCTATAGTAAATATAATGATACAGGCAGTTTTAATCATTTTCAACATATTCAAAATAAAAAAAAGACGATTATTATAGGAAATTGCACACCTCCGCCGATCATTCTAATTTTTACAATTTTTTCGAAGATATCTCGACATTTACCTGACCAAATTCGACAAACTTTTTTTCTTTGAGTTCTACAATTTCTGCAATTAAAATAAAAAAAAGCTCATCAAATTTGGTTGGGTGGTCGTCGAGATATCTTCGATCAAAGTATTGTAAATTTAACGCCTATCAAATAGAAGCCGCGTTGCTGATTGTGAACTTTGATCGAAGATATCGATATCCACCCGACTAATTAGTTGAGCTTTTTTAATTTTTTTTTTTGAATTCTACAAATTTCTACAATTAAAATAAAAGAAAGTACATCGAATTTTATCAGGTGATTGTCGAGATATCCTCTACCAAAGATTTTGTAAAATTTGCAGATTGTTGTGATACTTTGATCGAAGATATCCCGACATCCACCTGACTAAATTCGATGAACTTTTTTTATTTAAATTCTATAGATTTCTACCATTAAAATAAAAAATGTTCATCGAATTTAGTCAGGTAGTTGTCGAGATATCTTCGACCAAAGATTTTGTAAATTTTGAACGTTTAAGTAGAAGTGAAGTCGCGTTATTGATTATTGTGAAACTTTGATCGAAGATATCTCGATATCCACCTGATCAAATTCGATGAAAATTTTTTTCTTTAAATTCTACAGATTTCTACAATTAATATAAAATATGTTCAACGAATTTGATCAAATATATGCCGAGATATCTTCAATTAAAGTTTTTTTAAAAAAATTAAAAAAATTAGAATGATCGGCGAGGGTGTGGCATCATCAAAAAAAGGGGTGGAAATACCAATTTCTTTATTATATTGGCGGATTTGACATACGTAACAGTACATTAAAATTGATCCTTTAACGTGTGGCTGGCTATACGGTAATTAACAGATCTGGAGACTGATGCAGTTAATACTGTATGAATCGAAATGATTGCTTAAATTCAAAATTGAAAATTTTAATAAAATGCTCTCAAGAATTTTGATAAAGGTATATTTTTCTGTTCAAGAAAGGATATTTTTTTAATATGCAATATTAAGCACTCGAAAAAGTATATATACATAAAACTCATTGGGATACATTTTGATAAAACCCTATTGTACATTAATAATATTATATTCCAACTTTTTTTTTAAAAGTTTGCCGGTTCGTGATTAGTCTCAAACATCCGCTCACTCGTAGAATCAACAATTTCTTCCATAGTCCCTCTAATATCATCGTTAAAACTGGAACTTGGTGTTATAATCCAACTTAACTCTACCGCTCTACGCCAAGATATGAGTAAAGATATTAGAAGTAATCCTATATTCGCCCAACAAACGGATAAACTCGCTAAAGCCAATTGACATTGAAAAATTTTCCAGTTTACTATTTCGGCTACTACAGTGATATTCATATTTTCGGAGACAAAATTACAATTTAAGCCATTTCCTGATCCCGTGTACCAAGGATCCAAGTTTGCTATCCCTGAATAGAGAGGGATGAATATGTAAGTATATATAAGAAATGTAAATGTTAAAGTTATTAGATGAAATATGTTGGTTTTACCTGCTGATAAATATAATACAAATAAGAAACTGATGTAAAAAATTAATAAAAATATTTAAAAATTGTAGCTTATAAATTTTAAAAGACAAAAAAAAAAAAAAAATACAAACAATTCGGTACCAAGTAGATACGACCAAGACTGAGAGTTCCACAGAGCTCTGAGGTTAAATAAATAGGAGGCTGAAAAAAAGATGGAAAGTTTTAGAACGTCTACTTAAATGCATCACCAATTAAAACCGAAAAAAGAATTAGAATCTTTACTTAATCCAATTAATACAAGAATTATCACAACATAATACCATATCTTAACTCGTCCATCAACTCTAGTTAAAATTAATTTATAGAATTTATTAATTAAGCTATGAATCAAGGCTCGAAAAAATAAAAAAAATGAACAGAGAAATGATGAAACAACGATTGCTAACTATATTGAAATAAATATTACTTACATATTTGTATTTTCAAAATATTCTAATTTTGAAAGTCGAACATTGTATATTTTTGATGAATTTACATCGTCTACATAACTTGAGTATGCAATAAATTCCGTTATCTCTGTTGAAAAAAAAAAATTAATTAATTAGGTTAATGGAATTACACATTCTCTAAAAATTATCCTTAATATATTAGCACATCTAATTTCACATAATAAATATAAAAGAATACCTAGAACAGCACAAATAATTGTAACCAAAATTTGAAAAACTTTTAAGAGTCGAAATTTATTTATGTGGTAACCAACTAACATCTTTTTAATACACGGATTTGTCAAATTGCATCAATTATTGCATGTATTCATTTATTTGCTTATTTTAACTTGTAGAGGATTGAACGTTTCGTCTTAAGTATTTTTTGTCTCCCTAGGTTTGTTTGCGCCGTTTATTACAAAAAATATAACCTTTTGGAATTGTTCTCTGTTTGAAATCAAAGAACATAACCCCCTTTTTGAAGGGTGATCAGAAAAAAAATTTTATTTGACACAAATAGCATCTAAAGACAATCCTGCAATCACAAGGCTTTCAGATAACTTCCTTAAAAATATGTACACTGTAAAAAATCTACTCCTTATATATATCCAGTCGAGTCATTATTGAACCGAAAATTTCTATAAACGTGAATACTGTAACGCATTAATTTCTATATGCATAGATGCACGTCTAGAAATGTAAATTGATAAACGGGAGCCTTTAAGCTTTCCGAATATTAATATCTTAAAAAACCCTTTTCCCGATTTTTAAACGCCAAGTCTAACGTTAGATGTTCTCTTACATAATCGCTATATTAATGCATCACCTTATTTGTATATCTTTCCAGAAATCATTGTATATATAGATATTGGCAGATCAATGAAATGACTGATTTAACTACAGTCAAGCTAAATAAAGATGCGTTAAAGCTCGTGTTTGACATTGATTATTGAAATATTAGGTGCCTAATACTCACATTTCTATTAATAACCTGTTTCACAATACCAATGTACACAGTGCAATTATTTGTGTCGAGAAACGAAGATCTCAAGGTCGGTCAGTTTGTGAATGGAAGACCCTTTATTGGTGATCAGTTCTTTACTGCAATGAATAGATTCATCTTTCAAACTACGTATAAACTGTACAATAAACTGTGCATGAAATAAATTGCAAACAAGTTTCACCATACCCAATTTGATGATTTTGCGTAATTGAATAATTAGCTTTAATCCACGTGAAAATAAGGAATTAAATACTTACGATGTACGTACATGCGTATGTATGTACACGTGCATACTCTGTATCCAATAGGAAAAGATCATGACGTCAGATTCATTTATCTATAAAAAGTGTAGTGCGTATTACAAATAAATCTTATCTGAACTTTAAAAATACGATGGGTGCTCAAGGATCGAAACAAATCCAAAAGAAGTTTTCACAAAATGTTACTTCAGAAGTTAAGTCTAGCGCAGCTGAAACATATGCTAAAATTCAAAACCAAAATACATTAGATGATGCAGCCATTTCTTCTCATAATATTATAGCAAGTGCAACTCGTAACAATTGTTAGTAATTATTCGTATTTATTATCATTACTATTATTATTATTTAAATTATCTCTTTTTAATTTACTTGATTGTCAGCTATTGAAGAAGATGGTAAAGATCCTCAGCTACTAAACAATTTGCATGAAATTGGACAAGTTGCTTTGCCAAAAGTTTCTATACCATTTAAAAAGGTGAAGTTTATATTTCAGTTTGATATGATAGATTTATGCACTTTTTTTTTTTTTTGTTAATCTAAATTTAATTCTTGAACAGTCCGATGGAATGCTGGAAATTCTTAAGCACAGACAAACAGAACTTAAGAACGAAGATGTATTACAGAAAAATAGAATTTCCGTAAATCAACTAAAAGAAATGTTGGAGAAAAGAAATTCTGCCCCTAATGAATGGACACCAGAAAAGTTGGCTTCGCAATATAATTTAGATATCCCGACCATTAAAGTTTTGTTGAAGCATATAAATACATTTATATAATAAATTATAGTTAAATAAATGCTACTTATTATATTATAGTTCAGATCACATAATTTGTATAAAATTATACAAATCTTGATGAATTATAACTTGAATAAGTCGAGCCGGTTTGTACAATATTCACTATTATTTAGAGACTGGAACCGTTATTCGTTTAACCGCGACTAACCATTTATTTATGTTATAGATTAAATGAGATGAAAAATTTATAAAAAATTAAATCACTAAACGTACAGAGAAAACAAAAATGCATGTCAATAGACAGCGCTCATGATTAAAGATGCCGATGAAATAAAATTAGTATGGTGAAATAGTTTTACCACTATTGGTGAAATTAATTCACTAGCATCTCTACTCATACTCATGTGCTGTATTTTGCTTATGGCATGGCAAATAGCTTAGTAACGTATACATTGATAACGGTCGATGACAAATTTTGATTGTATTTACTATACCAGAAACAGATAATATGTAAAAATCAGGAAGTGTATGATTATAATGGCTTCTGTCTACAAAATCTCATTTCTTTGGACGATTCATGTGAAGAAGCGAAAACGTGAAATTACCGTTATACTTCATGATGTAACACTATCGCGGAATCAGAATCATAATTATAGCTGCTAATATCGATGTGGTTCTATATTATATCCTATTTATAATTTAAATCAATAAATAAATAAACAAATGTCAATTTTCTAATTAAGAATATAAACATACGAGACGAATATAAAACTTTTAATTATTATCGAGAAGCTGCTAATATATGTTTTCAATTATAAACCAGAATTTGAGCTGAAAAGGATTAACAATCACCTGATATTGATAAATATGTAGGTGTTGGATATTGTTATTGAAATATAAAAGGTGTTAAAAATGACGAACACAAGTCTTTTAAATATTTTCAAAAGCTGCCAACATGAGTTACATTGACATAATATACAATGTTAGATATTGTTACTGATATGGAAGGAGTAAAAAGGACGAACGCAAGTCTTTTAAATATTTTCAAAAGTTGCCAACATGAATTATATTGACAAACAATATCTGATATTATTATCGTAATAGAAGCAAAGTCCAGAGGGCGACCGCGAGTTTTTGAAAAAGTTGAGCATCTATCAGTTTCACAGATCAGGTTTTAAATTATATCGATATCGAATATAAAAGAACTAATCTGATCTTAAACTTTGTAATTAGGGTTCGAGGCACGGGTAAAAAATTAGGCATGCCTTTGAGGGCATGCCCTGAGTCACGGCATGCCCTTTTTATATAAAAAACTAGGGCTTTATATTACTTATTTTATTTAGTATTTTTTGGTCTGTATTAGAGTTATTATATCATGGTTTACTGTAAAAAATTCTGTTATTGGTTTTATTGAAATGTTATATTAAAGTTATTATAATTTCTACCATGGTTTAATATAAAAAATTTCCATTGCCAGAGTTATAGTAATTTATTGTAAATTATTGTAAGAAATTTCAGTGACACATAATATATAATTATTTAAGGTTTAGTTAATTTGCATTAAAATTATTATAATTTTTATTATGTTATTGTAACAAATTCTGTTATAAGACTCTATCATGACTTACTTTGTATTCTGGTGACTACAATATGTAGTTAAGATAAGTTTGCATCAGAATTTTCATGATTTCTATTATGACTACTGTAAAAGTTTTACAGAACTTCTTGCTATGGATCACCTATCTGCTATTATACAATTTTTACATCAAATCATGTAAATGCAAGGTATTAAAAAGATAAATTTAAAAATGTCATAAATAAAAATTTAAACTTGTCTAAATTGAAATTTTGTTGTGCAATGACTTGTCTAAAACAGTGTTTATGCTAATTAAAATAAACTCTGATGATCTTGACTACTTCTAACATGCTGACCAATCAAATACAACAATATATCACATGACTAGGGCATGCCTAACAGCCAAGTGGCATGCCCAAAAGGCATGCCCATGCCTCTGTGCCTCGAACCCTACTCAAGAGCTAAGAGAACTATTCTTTTTGAGCAGAAACCACTTCTTTAAAGAGTGTTCAAAGAAGTAAATCTAATTTAGATCAATTAAAGTATTATAAATAATACCACTTTATAACACTCCAATGACTCTTAATCTTTATCGTTGTTTTGCTTAAGAGTATAGTTGGTTTAGCTGATTGTGTCTACAGGTGTCATTAATGCGAAGAGTACTAATTGTCATAGATAAGCCCACATCAGCTACAATGCATTCATAACACAAAATTGGTACATCTCTCTTATCACACTCTATCTAATATTTTCTAGTGTCAAAAAATTTTTCTGATTGCTGATTGGTATAAACAGATATAAATTAAAATGTTTTTGTACCAGGTTCAGAATTGCTTCTTGATACATCTGAGGGTATATAATATATATATATATGTTCTAATCTTCTTTGGTTAGGTAGAAGGTTGGATTGATGAAGTTGAATTCTTTTAATGCTCTATTAACATCATAATTTATAGTTAATAATCTATTACTACTTAATTATTTAGTTTTTAAATTTTAGAGCCCAGTTAATATACCAAGCACATACAGTAATTGTATTACGTCTATACCACTGTTGTAGCATTAATTTCTGTAAAATCCTTGTTTGTAAATATAAAACATGGGCTAATATTATATGTTTTCATAGTCTTAAAAAAATGGTTTTAAAAGTTTACCACACTTATTTATATCTAAATCTATTGTTCTTGCCATGTCTAATACTAGATAAGCAATTAGAAACCTAGTTTCATTTATATCTGTTATTATACAATACAACTCAAAATGTCTCTAGAAATAATTAAAAATAAAAAACAATTAAAAAACATTAAAAAAATAATTAAAAAAAAAACTAACTCTTGCTGTTTTATATATTATATCCATATAAAATTCTTTAACATCAATATTTTGATTTCTAATTTTACTTAATAAAGAGGTAGTAAATGCAGTAGACTCTAAATTTGGTATATCAAAACACTGATAGTAGCCTTGGTCATAATGCTTGTTAAATAGTATATGTGCAGACACTACATAATTATGGATTTGTGTATAAATTTATTGTTACAGCATAATATTATCCTATTTAAAAATGTCAAATGTAAAGAGATAAAAAATTTTTAAATTAGAAACAATATTATCTATATTATCTGAACTATGTTAATTTAGTTAAGTCAGGCTTGGGAATGCTATCAGGCTTATATAATAAATACAATAGAACTAAATAAACTAACAGACTTTAGTACAATAAGTTTGTAATTTATATTCTATACATAGTTTTGCATCATTCCACTATGTATTCAAAATTGTATAAGAAATTATAAATTATCAATTGCATTATCTTTATTTACAAAAAAATTATTTGGTATATAAATATATAATTTTGTTATAGACAAATTAGTACTGTTTTGCAAATATAGTTTTTAGCTAGAGATATTATTAGCCTATTTAGCTCTATTATCAATTGTGTTTAAATATGCAAGCCAAGTCTAGCTAATAACATTTCTAGCATTAATAATTATGTGTTTAAATATATTTCTTATATTCTGGTGCTTCCAAATAAGATAAATAATATAAAAATTTAATAAGCTTTAAAAAATGATTAAAACTAGAAGAAACTAGTAAAGTACAAATATATGATTGATACATAACTAATCAATAATGCAACAATAAATTCATAAGTAATTGTATTGCTTTTGAATTTAATATTTTATCTTTTGATTATGTCTATACACATTTTATAGTAACTCTAGTTGCTCAATGAATAATATATTTGTATATCATTATTTTTTTCAAATACATAAAAAAAATTACAAAACAAATAAAAACTGCAATAATTAGAAAATTATAATTAATTAATGATTCTTCAGTCAACTAAAGAATAAACATAGTATAATATAACTCAGTTTACTATATAAATTTAATATAAGCCAAATTTGAAATTGCTTTAAGGTAAACTTTTTTTAATCGATCTTATCAATTAATTAAAAGTTGTAGAGTTCATCTTTATAGTTTTAATATTGGTTAGAACATCAAAATCAGCCTGGTGGGTGCTGAAATATCATTAAAAAATGTTTCTTTACTATTTAAACTTCTTTGCAAACAATACTATTGTTTACTATTGTTTGCAAAGAAGTTTACATAGTAAAAGAAGCATTTTTTAAAGATATTTTAGCACCCACCAGGCTGATTTTAATACTCTAACTACCGTTAAAACTGCAAAGATGAGCTTTACAACTTTTAATTAATTGATAAAATCAATTAACTTAGTATAAAAAAAGTTTACCTTGAAGCAATTTCAGATTTAGCCTATATTAAATTTATATAGTAAACTGAGTCATGTTATACTATATTTATTCTTTTAGTTGACTAGAGAATTATCAATTAAAAATACTTGTAAAACAAACAAAAAAAATAGATTTTCAAGAAAAATTTGATTCAATTAGTGAAAGCGATGGTCAAACTAATAGTAATAATACACTTTTATCTACAAATGCATTATCTTGTTTAAAAAAAAGAAGTCAAGGTTGACATAAAAAAAAGTTTTGTATAGAAATATTTTGATATAATTAGAATAAAAAATGTATGTAAAGTAAAAGTTAAAAAAGATAAAATCGAGAAAAAATGTGGACAAGATTATTTTTATAATCAAATATGATTGCATACTTGTAATCACAACATAATATTATAGATTCAAAAAAGTTAAAATTAGAAATTCAACAAATAAAACAAACTATATTACCAGAAATTCTTAATACTAATATTCCGCATAAAGGTATTTGGAGAAAAGAAATAAACAAAGGCATTTTAGAATGGATATTACTCGATAATCAGCTATTATTAGCATCAAGAAAAAAGTATTTCAACAAATGATGTTAATAATCAATCCAAAACTTTGTCCACTATCTAATTGATTAATAAAAAATAAAATAGCATTTAATAATTTAAAAAATATAGAAACTTTTAAATATGAAATTAATTTAACTTGTAAAAATACTACAATTACTACTGACTTATAAATATTATGTAGTAACCAGAGATATATTGAAGTTATGTATTACTGAATAACTTCAGATTGGTCATTACATAGTATATTATTGTGTTGTGAGAAACTTGAATATCTACATACCTCCGAATCTATTTATCAATTTCTCCTAAAAAAAAGTTCTGAGTATAATCTTGAGAATAAAATTATATGTACTGTTATTGACAATGCTACTAATATAATAAAGGCTTTTTAAATATAAAATAAAATTACCCAAGTTTCATGTACGGCCTACACTTTACAACTAACTGTTAATCTTGCTTTAAAAAAAATTAGTACACAAACAAAAAAATAAAAAAACTCATTAACTTTTCAATACACCAAAGTAGAGAGAGATTAAATAAAATACAAATCAAAGTAATAGAAAGAGACTGGCTTCTTTCAACTAACTTCATTAATCTTAATATAAATCCCAAAAATAATAAAGAATTTGAAGAGGTTGATAATGAAAGTGATATTGAATTAGAACAATCAAATTCAGATAATATAGCAATTTCTATTTATAAAACAATTAACTTAACTAAGAATTGTCTGACATATTGAAATTCGAAATACCATTCCTGGAAAAGATTGCTAAAATTAAGAGATGTGATCAAATGGTTAGAGGTAAACTTAAGTATTTTATAAAATTCAGATAATAAAAAAGATAGTCAAAAACTCAAAAAATGCTTGCCTAGTAAGGAAGAATAAAAATTAGTTAAAGAGTTGATCAAAGTTTTTAAACCATTTGATCAGACAACTGAAGTATTTAGTGATAAAAAATATTCAATCTTATCAGTAGTATATCTAATTATCAAAGTTTTAAAATTCGAATTTGTAGTAAATCTAAGTTTACTTTTAGATGAAGATGTTGGTTGACTCTATTAAAAAATATGTTAAAAAATATTAAAAAATTTTCTAAAATCAATATTTGTTATAAAAAGATATAGTCTTAAAAAACTTGACTGAATTACTAATTTATTATTAATGTATATTAATTGTCCGGAGCGAAGCGAAGAACTTACATTTCTACGACATTTAGTGACCAAAATTACATTTTTGATAATTTATACTAAAAATATCAAAAACATAATTGTGGCATTTTCTGTCTGTAATGCCACGTGTCTAAATTTGTGTATTCGTATAACAAAAATACAGATTACACGTCTGTTAAAGAATTTTTATTGAATAGACAACTTGTAGTGCTGCTTTAACTAAAATCTATTGAGAATGCGAAAAACAATACTAGCATTAAGCAGGAAGATGCCAGAAACAAGCCGGTTAGGACTTGTGCGCTCATAGGTGAGCATTCGTCTGATTGTCTGATTCGAATCAATTGCCTAGGTAACGAAATTTTTGTTTTATTTTCGATTATTTTTTTTTATTTTTTATTTTTTATTTTTTTTTATTTTTGTTATTTTTTTTTTAAATCTGGTTTACTAAACTACATAATGGCGGCTAGAACTGAGAAGTTGAATACTGGTACAGATTTTTTTGTTATGTGTTTTTTTTTTTCATAGTTGAACTAATTCTTTTTCTGTACATTTCAGATGCCAAATAGTACTAGACAGGGCTTGGACCGGTAAGATTAATATCATACGTTTCAGCAAGTATGGATGATGCCTGTAATCAACATGAATTGAAGTTGAAAGGAACGTATCTTTGAAAATGTATAAGAACCCGACTTATAGAAGATGTATTATTGAACTTTTCAAGACAATTAAGCATCTAAAATATAAAATTAATAAATATATTTATTTAAACACAGAAATATAATGATAAAAAAAAATCCTTTTATACTTCGTGAAGTTTTTTTGTGCTTTCCTAAAATTTCAGATTCGGATTCACTACCGTCAGCACTCGATTCCTCATTATCTATATTTTGGTTTTCTTAATTTACCAGATCAATCATTAAGTTGACTTGTGTGTAATCAATTAAGGTTGATATTTGAATATTTTTCCATAAAGTTTCTTTAGCTTCTGTAATCAAAGGATGTTGAGAGTTTCGTTGTACCTTCATATTTTCGAATAATAAAATTAAGGTTTGCTCGAAATTTAAGATTATTATTATTTTGCTTGTTTTTTAGTAAATTTTCTAAATCTTCAAGTGTATATATATTCGTCGTATTATTGCACATATTAACTACTTCGATCTATTTTTTTTTAGTAATTTATTACTAGGTTCAATATCAAGCAATTTTGCTAAATCAATAATTGCATCTTCATATCTTCTCATCAGATAATAGGATTCTCCTCAATATCTTAGTGCAAATTTGTTGTTTGGTTCAATATCTAGCAATTTTGTTAGATCAATAATTGCTTCTTCATATATTCTCATTAGGTAATAGGATTCTCCTCAATATCTTAGTGCAAATTTGCTGTTTGGTTCAATATCAAGCAACTTTGTTAGATCGATAATTGCTTCTTTATATCTTCAAATGATAAAGTTAAGTTTTCCTCGAAATTTGAGAGTATTATCCTGCTTGATTTTTAGCAAATTTTTTAAATCTTCAAGTGTATATATATTTGCCGCATTATTGCAAATGTTAACAATTTGGATCCATTTTTCTTTTAATAATTTATTACTAGATTCAATATCAAGCAAATCTGTTAGATCAATAATTGCTTCTTCATATCTTCTCATTAGGTAATAGGGTTCTCCTCGATATCTTAGTGCAAATTTGCTGTTTGGTTTAATATCAAGCAATTTTGTTAAATCAATAATTGCTTCTTCATATCTTCTCATTAGGTAATAAGTTTCTCCTCAATAACTTAGTGCAAATTTGCTGTTTAGTTTAATATTAAGCAATTTTGTTAGATCAATAATTGCTTTTTCATATCTTCTCATTAGGCGATAGGGTCTTCTCGATATCTTAGTGCAAAATTGTTGTTTGGTTTAATATTAAGCAATTTTGTTAGATCAATAATTGCTTCTTCATATCTTCTTATTAGGCAATAGCAATCTCCTCGATATCTTAGTGCAAATTTGTTAGTTTGTTCAATATCAAGCAATTTTGTTAGATCAATAATTGATTCTTCATATCTTCTTATTAGGTAATAAGATTCCCCTTGATATTTTAGTGCAAATTTGCTGTTTGGTTCAATATCAAGCAAATTTGTTAGATCAATAATTGCATCTCCATATCTTCTCATTAGGTAATAGGATTCTCCTTGATATCTTAGTGCAAATTTGCTGCTTGATCCAATATTAAGCAATTTTGTTAAATCAATAATTGCATCTTCATGGCTTCCCATAACAAGATTAAATTTTTATCGAGAGCAGTATCTTGACTGATTTTTGTATTGCACCCTCATAATACAACATTTTTGTCATGGGTTATGTGAGTATAAATATAATAATTGTCCATGCTGATCATTGACTTATTTCTTATCTTGTTTTCTTTTTTTTTCTGTAAACGTATATATTACAATTCTAACTTTTTTTTTTTTTTTTTAGATTTTATAGGTAGTGAGTCGCGTTGGTGTCGTTGTTTCTAGAATTTTTATTATTGTTGTCGCCACTATTGGTGATTCTGTTCTTGGAATTTCATCATCATTACTGGGTTACTATTTCTAAAGCTGTCATTTCAAGTTTCGCTATTATGTTTGGCACCACAGCTAATGGTGCTTTTGCTTGTCTGTAGTGTGTTACTAACCTTTTTTTTTGAGTAATCATCGTCATTCTTGGTGTCTTCATTATTGGAGTTTTCATTTGTTTGTCTTTGTTTGTAATCTTGTCGATTTCGGTAGCACCTCTTTTGTTTATTGCTGGAGTTTCATGTTTTTGATTTCACGGCTTTGGTCCAGGTGGTTTTCCATGTTGTTGTGTTGTTATTGGTAAGTTTTCATTTCTTTGGTTACTGTGTTATGAATTTTTTTTGATTTCTTGATGTTGCTAATATTTAGTTGTATGAATTCTACATTTTAGGTGGTTTCATCACTTTTAGTAGGTTTTATTTCATCGCTTTCGGTGTTCTTTGAGTTCTTTATTTCTTTTATCATCTGTTGTTATTTTAATTTGTTAGGTTTTGTAGCGCATTTCATTGCGTAGCTTTTGGTAGGTTTCGTTTTGTCACTTTCGGTGTTTTTTTGAGGTTTTATTTCATTTATCATCAGTTTTATCATTTTAATTCATTGGGTTTTGTAGCGCGTTTCGTTTCGTCACTTTTGGTAGGTTTCATTTTGCTATTTTCAGTGCTTTTTTAAAGTTCTTTACTTCTTTATTGTTGGTCCTGTCATTTTAATTCATTAGGTTTTGTAGCGCCTTTTTTAGTGTCATTTTTATGAGTCTTTTTGGTGCCAGGTTGTAATTATTGGATTAGGTTTAGCGATAGTATTAGATTACTTTAGTTGTTAATTAGGGTTAGGGTTTAGCAATTAGTACTAGAATTGGGTTTAGTAGTTAGTTAGGGTTAGGATTTAGTGGTTAGTATTATATCATGTAACCCATGAAAAAATGTTATGTAACAGGGAGCAACAAATAAATTTATCCAATAAATAAATATAGTTTTATGTATTAAATTGCCGATATTTGCAAAATTTGCAGTATATTGTATATTTTTTGAATAATTTCATATATAAAAATTTGAAATATTACACAATTTATTTCAAAATATTTCGAAATATTTTGAAATGATTTTTGAAAACTTTTGAAATTTTTTAAAATATTTTAAAACCTTTCGAAATATTTTCAAAATATTTTGAAAACTTTTGAAAATTTTCAAAATATTTAAAAACTTTCAAAAATTTTTCAATTGGGAGTCTACGAGTAAGCCAGAGAGTGATATGACTCAGATTACTATATAAATTTACTATAGTGTGAATATGGCCTGCGCAAATCTAAAACTTTTTTTATATTAAGTTAATCACTCTTCTAATTTAAGAAACTTTTGTAAAGCTTGTCAAAACGCATCTAATGGTAGTTAGAATGCCAAAATTGGCCTGGTAAATGCTGAGATATCTTTAAAAACCCTTTTTTTTACTATGTAAATTTCTTTGCAAAAATACTCTTTTTTTTGCAAAGAAATTTACATAGTAAAAGAAAGGTTTTTTAAAGTTATCTCAGCACTCACCAGGCCGATTTTGATGTTCTAACTACTATTAGATGCGTTTAGACAAGCTTTACAAAAGTCTCTTAAGTTGGAAGAGTGATTAACTTAGTATTAAAAAAGTTTTAGATTTGTGCAGGCTACATTTGCACTATAGTAAATTTATATAGTAATCTGAGTCATATTTTACTATGATACTCTCTGGCTTACTCATAAACTCCCAATCAAAATATTTTGAAATATTTTGAAATAAATTGTATAAGGCCATGCAAAATTAATTAATTGGTTTTCATAACCCGGCCGGGTCAAAATTTGAAAATTTCAAAAAAAAAATTTTTATATGTTTTAATAACCGGGTGGGTTTTAAAAAAAAAATTATATAAATTTTATAAAATTTTATATATGAAATTTAAAAAAAAAAAGCCGGCTGGCCGGGTCTATTTAAAAGTTTCATGTTATGAAAACCAAGTAATTAAATTTGTATAGCCTAATATTACGAAATAAATTACGTAATATTACGAAAAAAGTTATTTTGAAATATGTCATGTCGTTCGTAATTCTTGCAGAAGTTTTCAGAGTATAATAACTTACGTAAGATTATATTTATATATTTTGCTGATGTTAATGAATTTTTTTTCCAGTGATCTTCCGACTTATAATTGATTTCATATTATTCAAATTTTTATTTCTCTTTAAGTATTTAATATTTTCAAATTCTGCAAACTGTTTATACTTTAGAAACATATATTCAAAGAGCAACAACATTACATTTTACATATTATATATAAAAATTTTAGCTTACGGTCGCCAAATTAAAACTGGCAAATAATCTTCATGTAACCAGTAAATGATCATCATTATAATTTTTTATATATCATATATATGTAAAATATAATGTTGTTACTTTTTGAATATATGTTTTATAAAGTATAAATAGTTTATAGAATTTAAAAATATTAAATACTTCAAGAGAAATAAAAATATGAATGATATCACTTTTTTATAAATCGAAAGATCTAATTGTAAGTCAGAAAATCATTGGAAAAAAATTTATTAATAATCTTCGCTATATAGCTTGCACTAAGTTGTAATTAAACCAATATTAGACACTCTAATATCAGACTAATCCTGATCCTGATCTTAGTTGCTTCATTTTAAATGCTCTTCCAAATAAGAAAATCTAAAATTAGTTTGATTCTTTAATATTAACCTTATTCAATTTCTTTCAGCGTCACAACTCTGATCATTACTTTTTATATTAAGGCTTTGTTATGTATATAATTTCTTATTGGTTTTGGATTAGCTTGTGATCACCACTTAGTGTTCTGAATCAAAGCAAAAAATGTAATCGATTAGTTAGTTGAATTTTTTTTAAAAAAATCGATTACAAATCGATTATTGCTAACTAATCAAGTAATTAATCAATCGATTAGTTGATTAATCAATTAACTAATTAGTTGTATAGCTAACCTAATTTATGAATATAAATCTGATAAAAATCTTATTAAAAAGCTAATTAATGTAAAAGCAACTAATCAATTAATCGATTAATAGTTTGATTAGTTGATTAATTGATTAATTGATTAGTTGTTAACTTAGCCAACTAAACAATTATCACTAATACCACTTTTCTTTTTGATTAAAACAAAAAGATTTTTATAAAAATGTATTACCATATCGTACAATATTGCTATCTGCATTTGCCCAAAAATTTTATTGTAATTTTTTAAAGTTTGATTACTTTTATTTCACAATTAGATATATATATTGCTATTTTGAAATTATATATGTACATATGTACAGTATATACAAAAAATCATGATTAGTTTTAATTATTAATTGCAATTTACTCTAAGTTGGAGTCACTTAAAGCCAGGTATATCATAAAATTGCCCTATGATCGATGATTATTAGATCAAGTTAAACTACTTCAGCTTTAATTAGACTAGAACAGTTCTTTTAAACTACTTCAGATTTATTTGTACTAAAACTTGGATTAAATTAAACTACTTTGGGTTTATTTAAACCAGAACTTGAATCAAATTGAACTACTTTAGCTTTAATTAGATCAGGACTTGAATCATTTTTTTTTTTTTTTATACAGGATCCTTGCCTTGGTTAACTTTATTATTTATATACTTTATTGTACAATACATATTCTTTTTTAAACATACAAATACATCATTGCACAAAAACTAGGCTAATTTATCTCAGATCCAAGTATGCTACAAGAATTACAGCCCATGGACTTAGGAAGATTCTAGTGTACCCACTCACTATCCCCTTTTATACAGTTGCTGAAGCTTCCACTTGCAAATGAGCCTATATATCCATTGTAAGTCCACCAAGACGGCCTGGATCCCTATCCCCATAATGTTACAGTTCTCTACTCTGCAGGACCTCAAGCACTTCTGCCTTTATATGGTTTGATTATCTTGGACCAGATACTCACATTACCTCCTTTTTACATAACATTATTCTTAGTATCACCAGACTCCCAATTTAGTTAGCCCGGTAGAGTTGGTCTTGCTGAGGCTTTATATATCTATATAGCATCCTTCCCTTGATACATGCTTCCAGAGCACATATCCTTTTCCTCTAGTGCGACTTCAGTAGCCAGGTTAGTGATTTCCTTTCTGATTTTTTGTCTAGGTCCACCAATTCTTTAGTTAATTCCAATTCCATTCTGTGGCACCTGTCATATCCTCAACTACTTCTATATTTGGGACTTCACCAAGCCCAAGACTTATCATGGGTTTGCACTACTCTAACTGGTTTGCATCCTTTTATAAAACACCAATGTTCATAACACAAGGAATTTTATCTGAAATGTCTCTAGTGAGATTCGAACTCTATACCTTTAGTCAACTAAGCTTGGGGGTGTAACAACTCTACTACTTTACTAAGTCACTATACCCAAACTTGGATTAAATTGAATTACTTTAAATTTAAAGATTTGATTGGCTATTGTAATTATGCAAATTATATAACAAAGATTTGTATAATCTTAACTTTTGTCAGAATACACAATTTTAGAAGTCATATAACCTTTATTTGTATTATATTATATATAACTATATCAGGAAACTAAATATGGTGCAAATCTGTGCAAATTTGTGACTCTAGAAATTTTTAGCAAATTTCACAATATCTCGTGATCTATTGATTAGAACTTAACAAATCCAGTACCATTTAAACCGTCTCAATGAGACGGATTGAATGGTACTAACTTCATTAAAATTCGATCACTGGATCATGAGATAATCATATTTAAATGAAATTTGGAGCCACCTCACTATCTTGTTAACCAGTAGTTCAAATTTAATGATTTTGGTACCATTCGATTCCTCTCAATGAGATGGTTCGAATAGTACAAAAACATTAAAATCGAATCACTAGTTAGCGAGATATTCACAAATATGTTTCACGGCGCAGTTTTGTGCAGATCTGCGAATTTGTTTTGTGCAGATCTGCGCAAAACTGCGCTGTGAAACATATTTTATGAATATCTCGCTAACCAGTGATTCGATTTTAACGTTTTTGGTACCATTTGAACCATCTTATTGAGAGGAATCGAATTGTACCAAAATCATTAAATTTGAACCACTGGTTAACAAGATCGTGAAGTAGCTCCTAATTTCATTTAAATATAATTATCTTGTGATTCAGTGATTGAATTTTAATAAATTTAGTACTATTCGATCCGTCTCATCGAGACGGTTTGAATAGTACCAGATTCATTAAGTTCTGATCAATAAATCATGAGATATCGTGAAATTTGTTAAAATTTTCCAGGGTCACAGATCTGCACCATATTTATTTTTCCGATGTAGGTCAAAAGGGTCAGAGGCCAAATAGGGTAGTATTAGCAAAAATAAAAGGTGGCAATATCAATTCTCTTTATATATTATATATACAATAGTAATAGTAAAATTAGAAGTTATTTGCTTTTTTTTCAAATAATCTAGATTATTTTGAACTAATATTTATAATAAAATTGGGTTATTTAAAGTCATTTGAAAGTTTTTGTTTTTTTTTAATATTAGAGTATAGTGCCTACTTTGAACTTTTATTAATATTTAAGCAAGTTAATATATGGTAGTGCCAAAATATATATATTATATATTAGAATTAGAACTAGAACTTTAGGCCTAAGACTATTTATTTATAGCTAAAACTCACCAGAGCTGTCAACACTTTCACATATATAATTGACCTAGATTTATATATCTCTTCCCAACCACCAATTAGTATTCATATATCTATTATTTTACCCATATACCTAATATCTTAACTCCCAAATTAGTATATACCAGATGGGTACTTATTGCTCCCAGTTTGATGTACCTGGTTTCAACTAGCATACTTCCAGAAGTTCGTATCTCAAGCCATGCAGCTGTCTCTACCCAATTAGGTAAGTATCTCAAGCCTATATGCTGTTGTAACTAGCTAGTTTTCTGCAACTTTAAGACCCAGGTCTTAACATTTCAAATTTGGTGATGTACAAATAACTATATTTCCCAATATGGTAATGAGGCTTACTCAGGTATGTTTTACAAATGCTTTCAGTACTCAATATAGTTGGATGGAATTATATGGCCTAGGGGTTCTTAACAGGTACATCATTGTTTCTATTTATGGTGATTCTTGGCAACTGTAGTCTCAGTTACTGCTGCATTTACTTATACTAGCTATATCTGTATTGGTGGTCCTGAGTCCTCTTAATGTTTGAAAACTCCTATACAGGTATAACTAGAGCCTGTTAGATCTATCAACACATACATACCTCCATACTTCAACTTCTTATTGGTCAGTAAGTTTCATATACACCAGAGGTGTTCCAAATCTGATAAGGCCAATTCTTTACTACAGATCTCTTTGTGTTTACCACATTTCTCACCACTTTTTAATTCTAGTTATCATCTGGTCATCCTCCCAAATAAGATTCCCCAATGCTACTTTAGAGATTGTTGCTGCTTTGGAAGTTGTTTGTGCTACCTTGCCAATTGCAGATTTATATATACAACCTTTGTATAATAGAACTTTTTGTAATAACTACCATTGCACATAATGCCAACTACTCCACAATGAACCTTCTTCCAAAAATTTCTAATTCAGACCTGTATTTACTTGGACTTCTCATAGCAGATACTTTCAAATATTCATAAGTAAACATATCTACTAGGACTTGAACCCAAAACCCACTTATAGAAGGATGGGTGTCTAGACCACTAGGCCACAAGATTCCAACTTCATAATTGAAAGTTATTTTCTATTTCTAATATACAATATTATTATGATTATAAAATTAGGTATAATGTGAAATCAAACCAACCAAAATAAGCTGTTTTTTTAATTAGTTAGAGTTAAAATAGTATTTGTGTTTAAAGAATAGTTTTATAATAAAATTTTACTAAAAATTTTTTTTGTTAAAACACAAAGAGTAGTTTATATATAAATATAAAGTTTTGAGTTATAGTATAGATAATTTTTAACAAAATAAATACTGTATTTATTTTTAATTTTTTATTTATACAATGTTATATCTAATTTTAAAATTTGATTGGTCAATTATTTTTTTATTTTTTATAGATTTAGAAGACCTTTTTGGTCTGAAAGCTTTTATTAGAGTCTAAATAATATTTTATAATATAATTATAATGATTGTACATCAAGCCACATGTGTACTTTTGGTGTCTAATTTAAGTAGTCTGCCTGAAGGTTCTATACTATCTGCTGTACTTGTTTTCAAATACAGGAGTACTCATTTAAACCATCTAGTTCCAACTGCTACTTTCCACTCTCTAAACCCAGATTTTCCTTATTATTTATATATAGATTTTGGATATCACCTTTAAAAGATACACTAACTGCCTTAGAACTTACTAACCATTTTTAGCTAATCTATTCTCAAGATAAACCTAATAGAGCAGTACATGTTCTATATATATATTCATCTGCATGTTTTGTAATGGCTTTCTAATTAGTATATATTAGCTTGTTGTTTCATATTTGTATTTTACACCACCTTTTGGGTGCTGCCATTCTACAGACATTTCTTAAGCACCAACCTTTCTATCTAGACACCTATTACATACTTCCTGCCTTTATTCAGTTTACAACAACCCTGATACCCACATTTGGACTATCTTCTTACCTAGATTCTTTATCAGTCTTTCTTTTACTTCCAGCTAGCAATCCAAAAGAGTCAGTCTGTTCAGGCTTTTAAGTGTCTTATGGTCACTTTTCTCTTATTATACTTTTGGAGCATATAATCTTTTTCTCTGGTGCGTCAACTTTGCAGTTCGGCTGGTGTGTTCTTCACTATAGAACCTGGTCACTCAGTTTTTTGATTTCAGGCCCTAGTTTGAATTTAACCCTCCTGTAATACCGTTAAAGATTATTGCTAGAGTCTTTCCAAATAGGTTTTTGGCTATACTAGTTCCTCAGATTTATTGTGCCAAAGCTCCTATTACTAAATAGTGTGATTGAAATTACAGATTTAATTCTAGATCCAACCGATAAGCATAGCCATTAACCAAACACAAGCCTATTTTCAAATATCATCGCCAGTAGAATTTGAACTCTAAATCTGCTACTTGGAGAGAATAATAACTAGACCTCTATACTAAGTCACCACATCTCTATTTGATTGGTCAATTATGTGAGAGTAACAAATTAGTAATATTACTAGATATAGTAAATAAATATACTCTAATTAATTTATATAGTAAAATTCTATTTTAGATTAAAATACTAAAATATTTATAAAATTTAAGTTTTAAAAATTTTAATATACAGTGTAGGACACCATAAACCAACACCTTTTTATATGTATTTTACAAAAATTAATATAAAAAAAATTTTAAAAAAATTTTTTAGCCAATTTGTTGCTTTAAGTTTAAGCTACAATTTGGCTAGAAAAGATTTTTATTTTATTTTAATTTTAAAAAGATATATCAACTTAAAGTATACTATGAAATTGAAAATTTGGCATTTATTATATAAAAAAAGAAACTCATATGTTATTTTTGACCAATCACAATTGATTATATTATATTAGCCAATTAGAATCGAGTATTTATTTTGAAATTTGGCACATTTTACAAAAAAATGTATTGGTTTATACTATCCTGCACTGTATATAAAAAATAATCATCTAAATTATAATTTTAAGCCAATATTAATTAAAAATTTATTAATTAAAAATTAAAATTAAAATTTTTTTATTTACTAGTTTTTAACCCAATAACTAACTTAATAAAAATAGGTTAAATTTTATAAAAAATTTTTTATATGTGTAAAAAAATCATCAAAAAATTTTATTTTATAAAAAAATATATTTTGTATAGTAAAAAAAAAAGTTATAAATTATTAAATATAAAAATTAATTACTATTTTATAAACTAGCAAATTGTTAATAAAAAAATAAGGTTTATTTAAAAAATGTGCATCTGCACAGCTATGCACTCTTTATGTTTTTTAGACTAACTCTGTGGTATTCTCAAATTTTACTAAGATAACCTCTGTTGTATTCTTGACAAAAAATGCATCCTTTACAAAGTTACTTTAAATTTTAATTTTAAATTGACTCTAACATTAACCTAACTTTAGTCTCTAACTTTCTAAACTTAATTCTAACCCTAATTCTAACTCTAATCCTAATTATTGTTTATATGTTACTATAGGGTGCACAGCTGTGCAGGGTGCGCAAAATTAATAAATCCTAAAAATATTTAATTTTTATATAATAAGCTAATATTTATAACTTAATTTTATAATATATATATTTTCTCAAAAGTTAAGTTTAAAATAACATTTATTAAATAAAATATTCTTTATAAAATTTTTTATTAATTTAGCTTGTATTACCGTTAATGATACGACCTATATGTAAATATAAATATATATAATTTTCATATAGTATTCTATATAAAGTTGTAGATCTATGTAGATTTTATAAAAAAACATACTTTGTGATGAAACTATAACAGCAATAAAAATTTACAGTATAGTTTTGGTAGTGAAATATTATACAATATGAATGCTTTAATATCAACAACGGTCTAACATTTTATAAAAAGTTGATACTAACGTCTACAGTAGTTATCTTCTAAATAGTCGATAATAATAATAAATAGATATTGTTACTACTATCAATTCTATTAATCTAAATTCTGCTGCCCAGTTGAAGATTGGATAATTTTTCGCAACTTACTAATTTTTTTTTCAAGTTCATTTTTTGTTCCTATTTCACAATTCTCTATTAAAGACTCTTCATTTCTTAAGTATTCCAAAAGTTCTGATTTATTAGGTTTCCTAGCAACGAGCCAACTGATTTCAGAGACCTGTAATTCTACAAATTTAATTGCCGCTTTGGTATAGCGATGTTTAGCAGCTCTCCTCATATACTCTGATGCATCAGCCAAACAAAGAACTGCATAATGATATTCCGCATCATAACATCCTAATTCTGCTGATTTTCGATAATATTTGAGTGCTTTATTTTTATCTTTTTCTACAATGTATCCTTGATAATAATAATAAGCTAGATAGTAAGTTGCTTTTCCATGACCTTCAGATGCCAATCGCTGGAAAATGGGTAAAGCATTCTGATATTGTTTTTTTTTATGGTAATTTATTGCATCTTTATAATTATAGTGTTCTAATTGAGTTTCAGGTGGTGGAGAATTTTCATATTGCAGGGGCACAGGTGGAACTACTAGGAATGAGCTTTGGAGTTCTGAATTTAACGAAAGGTCTAAATAATCATCTTCAAGGCATGTCGCAAGTTTTCTGTGCATAATTTCAGCTGAAGGACGCTTATATGGTTCAGTTTTCCATGCCTCTTTCATGATTTTCGCATAACTACGTGGAATGACACTTTCATCAATTATTTGTGGTCTGTTTCCGCTATTAGCATATTCTACAAGTGCCTCAGGGTCTTTCAAATCATCTAGTTCATCATATGGCATTCTTTGCATAGAAATTTCCCATAGAACAATAGCGAAACTATCCAATATTTAAATCACAAATTAATATTAATGTCATATATTTAGTCAAATGAAAATCTTAACATTTACCTATATATATCACATTCCTTGGTATATGGGACGTTTTTGTCTAAAAGTTTTTCAGGTGCTATCCATCTGTGAAATAATGCTATTTATTAGTCTGCATAGTAATAACTATTTTAATTAATTATTTATATTGAACATTACCTAGTCTCAATTTGATCTATAGTAGTAGTTTCATGACCATCCTTTCTACTTAAATGAAATCCAGAAAGCTTTGCACATATATTTGCATCAAGTAAAATATTATGACTCCTCACATCGTGATGGAGAATATCACGATGATGACAAAACACTAATCCATTAGCGATACCTATAGCAATCTTTAATTTTATAGACCAATCAAGATCAGGATTTTTCTTCATGTATTCTTCGAGATTACCATGCTCACACCAGCTTATAATCATATATAGTTGACTTTGTGCTTCCAGAATGCCGTAGCTAGAAATGAATGTTACTTACATTGTTTGAAATATCTATTATACAGTAGTGTAAATGTATGAAATGTTTAAACTTACAACTTTACGACATTTTCACAGTCGGAAAGTAGCTGTAACATATTAATCATCCTTTCTTTCTCCTTTTGCTCGTTTTCGCGATAACAGGAAAGTGATCCAAGACATTTCTGAGCAACTAATTGCGTGTACGTTATGAATGCTTTCTTTTCGACATTACCTTTCTTGACTTTTAATGGTGTTGGCACATCACGAATGTCGGAAGGCCTGATGTTGATTGAATTCGGGGATGCTAAACCATGATACATTGCTATGAGGTGAAGATCCTTTCTAAATTGAGCTAGATTCTCTTTAATCTCAGTCGTATCTTTTTTTGTATCCAACTGAAGTGTAAGCCTGAACTTGTCACCAATAGAATTAAGTTCTTCAATTAGAAGCAAGCATTTGTTTTCATACTAAAAATAGTAAAAAAATTAATACACAATGCAACTTTATTTTTTTCATGGAAAGCTTAATTAAAATTCACCTCAGCGGCAGTTGAAATATGTTTTATCTTTTTCCATATGTTAAATGAATTTTTATGTTGTATACTATGTATGTATTCTTTAATTTTATTTAATACTTCTAAATATTGCTTGAGGACAACATCGTTCACTTGAATATTTTCGCATTGTTCAAGAATTTTTTGAGTATCTTCAACATTTTTGGCAATAAACATGCAAATTGCTTGGCCATGTTTCGCTTTTTTAATCGCCTCTCGTATTTGTTCAACTAGTAAAGCTGCAGTTTGTGTTGCAGGAATGCATTTGGCAATTAGAAGAGTCCCATCGATAATGGTTTTGAGATCTTCTTTCATAAACTTAGTTACTTTGCTCATGCTTTGATAAACGTTTTTCTTACAAGAACGATGTTTAAGATATGAATATTTATTCTTAAAAAAACAAAGATAATTTTGTGTATCATTGACACTCACTTTGTATATACTATATGAAACAATACCTCATTAATCTACTACTCAAAAAATATAGATCATCAATAAGTTTACTTTGTTTTACTTTGTATATAATTACACAAAATGCACCTAATATTGTACTAAAAAAAAATACAAACTTATTCTGCAAAAATAATTACAATGTGTTTTCCTTTCCGTATAGCTACATGGTTTTATAATAATAACTCCACTAACAGTTATCAGAGAATTCAGATGACTAATTGTCCTAATTGTGAACAGCAACTCGATGTAGCCGGTTGGTGTAAAATATGTGAAGAATATTATTATGGCAACTGCCCAATTTGCAACAAAAATAGAACTGGCGAGCTTTGGTGTCAACAATGCGAGGCTCATGATTTTCAAAAGAATTTTAGAAAATGGACTAGCGGAAATAAAGATATTGATTTATTAATTCAGCAAAGTCAAATAGACGCCAAACAAAATTCTCAAGTATGGGAATGGATTCCATATACTCAATTTACTAATATTCGCTATTTAGATAAAGGTGGTTTTTCAACTGTCAAGTTGGCTACATGGTTGGATGGTCCACGTGATGTCTTTAATCGAGATAACCAACGTGTAGAAAGACGTCCTAATGAAGAAGTTGTTCTTAAAATATTGCATCAGTCGCAAAATATTGATACAGATTTCTTGAAAGAGGTATTTAAATTCGTTAATAAACAAAATTTAATATAAAAATAAGCTACACTAAAACAATAATTCTACGTATTTATACAGCTTGGGTCAAATTATGCATGTAGACTAGCAGGCGTTGGTTGGATTTTTGGTATTACTAAAGATCCGACAACCAATGAATTTGTTATGGTGATACGATATTATGAAAAAGGTGATTTGCGAAGGTTTCTCAAACAAAATGAAGAGCATTTAACATGGCGCGAAAAATTGCTCATGCTCCATTATGTTGCTAGTGCACTTGTTGGAATACATGACGCAGGTTTTATTCATCGTGATCTACACCCTGGAAATATTTATCAACGATATAATTCACGGTATAATGTTCATGTGTCATATGTCGGAGATTTGGGACTTTGTACACCTGCTAATGAATCTCCAAGATCACTAAAAAGATATGGAGTTGTCCCATATGTTGCACCCGAAGTTTTGCGAGGAGGTTTTTACACAGATAAATCAGATATATATAGTTTTGGTATTATAATGGCAGAAGTAGCATCAGGAAATGTGCCATTCTCAAATTTGGAACCAAATCTTTATCTGGTGCTTGAAATTTTGAAAGGAGCCCGACCAACAATACTAGATGGAACACCTGAATGTTATTTAGATTTGATGAAACGTTGTTGGGATAGTGATCCTTCAAATCGTCCTACAGCCAAAATGTTGATCAGCAAAATTACGAAATGGATTAAATATTATAGATCAGAATCTCTGCCTTTAAAAACTATAAATTTTGAGATGCATTCTCAAAATGAATTTAATGATGAATGGAAGCAATTTTGTGAAGCGGATAATTTGCATTATAATTTGTCTAATTACAGTCCTATAGGAGAACTCTACAAGAGTAAAGATATAAGAAAACTCTACAAAAGTAATGATACAGGAGAACTTTATAAAAGTAAAGATATAACTAGTTTTGTTGAAACAATTAGAAGTAGCAATTTTGAAGTATACAAAGCAGACAACTTACAACATAACACGTCAAGTGATGAACTTTATGTTAGCAAAGATATAACCTGCGTTGACAATAGCTTTGAGCATTCTGATCCAGCTTAATTGTTCTTTATGTGAATTATTTCAGAATTTGAATTAAATTTTCCTAGATTTGCTCTGTACCAAATTATAATTGTAGCTGTTTTTTATTATTCTTTTATTTTATTTTATTTTATTTTTTTTCAAAAAAAAACAATTAATTTAAATTATTTTTGAGTAATTTTCCTGAAATTCTACGTATATTACAGCTCGGCTTGTAACGTGAGCCAACTTAAAGCGAGATTTGACATATATTAAAATAAATAGAAATGAGTTTTAATCTCAGCTTAGTTCATTTTTAAATCGCCTGGTTAAAAACAGCTTGTCTAAAAAACCATTCCAGCTCAGCTCACTTATGAAGAGCAGCTAAGTCGAACGTTTGCATTTCTACCAAGAAAACCCACTGAATGTTAGGAAATCTAAAATAGCGCTGTTTTTTTTTTTTTTTACCAAATAGCAAAAAATGTCGCTATTTCTGCTATAAATATATGACTTTTCTCTTGTACCAGGAACAAAGTGTATGGTTATATGCGTATATCTGATTGGATAGCAATTTCACATGTCAATATTCCTGTGTTAAAAAAAAAAACTTAACACACGTCTAAGCGATTCAAAATGCAATTATTAAACATTTATGCAGTGACCGACTTAAATTTACATGCTTGTTTCTGG